GCTAGGATGACGCCATGGCACTCTAGCCCAGGCAACACAGTGAGACTCTGTCTCAAAAAAAAAAAAATGCTAAAAAAAAATGTATGAAACTGTGTATATACATACTTAGGCAAAGTATGACTCAAAAGAAAGTGAATTTAAGATATTTTCAGACAAAGTTTACTTCTGATAAATCTTGGGTAAAACAAAGCAAAATGAAATAGAAAATAAATATTTGAAAACACTAAAATCTATAATTGAGAAAAAGGACATTAAACTCCAAAAGAAAGGAATATGATGAGAGAATCAACGGTGAGCAAATGAACTTTTAAACATGCTGAAATCCTAAATAAGCAGTTGCTGAGATTTTTTTAAAGCTAATTCTTAGGGATGAGGTGAAACTAGATTTCTAGGCTAGAATTTTGGGAATACAAATATGAAATTAGATTAAAATGTTGTAATGAACATCTTTGTTATTGCTAGTTAGGATGTTATAGATGTTGATTAAAATAAAGAAATTTTACTGCTGAGCCCAGTGGCATGCACCTGTAGTCTCATTTACTCAGAAGGCTGATGCTGGAGGATTGCTTGAGCCTAGGAGTTTGAGGCTATAGTGTGCTATGATTGTGCCTGTGAATAGCCGCTGCACTCCAGCCTAGGCAACACAGAAGTCTCTTAAAAAAAAAGAAATAGAAAGAGATTTTGATCACTCTAATAGAAGGCAGGGGAGACAAAAAGATAGAAACAAAGTAAGAAACACATACCAAATGAAATGGGAGAGCCGGGCACAGTGGCACATGCCTATAGTCCAAGCTACTTGGGAGGCTGAGGTGGGAGGATCTCTTGAGCACAGGAGTTGGAGAGCAGCCTGGGCAACATAGATAGGAAGACTTCATCTCAAAAAAAAGAAAAGAAAAAAAGATAGGAGAAATAAGTCTGAATATATCAGTGATAAGAGTAAATGCAAGTGGATTAAAGTTCTTGTTAAAAGAAGAAAATCTCAGATTGAATTTTTTAAAAATTGCTGTTATATAGAAGAGAAACGTGAAACTTAGTGATCAGAAAGTTTGACAGTAAAAGCATGAAAAAAAGATATGCCAGATAAATACAAACCAGAAAACAGTTTGCATACCAGTATTAATATCATATAATACAGAGTTTAAAGCAAAATTCATTAATAGTAAGGAGTCACTGAGAAATAATACTTGCTTCAAAAAGAACAATTCACCAGAAAGATATACATTTTAAAATCTATATGCATTTAATAACATAGTCCCCATATGTGTAAAGATTGACATAATTAGAGGTGAAAAGATTTAATACATGTTTCTTAAAAACAGACCAAGGGAAAAAAAATAATGAGTAAAAAAGTTGAACAATTTTATTAGGAAGCTGATTTAATGGAAGT